TCACGTACGTCCAACTTCCCCAATTCTGGCCGCCGAACAGGTTCTGGGGCAAGTTCTTTGGCAACCGCTTCTTGCGAGACGATGGCCCCTGCCAGACTAGCCGCGTGCTCCTTGTACTGGTCCATGGCCGTGCCCAGCTCCTTTTCCAATCGGAGAACACGCTTAGCAACTTTGTCCAGAGCAATTTCAGCACGTTCAACTCTCTGCGAAGCCTCGGCCAGCCTGATGGGCGGGGGCTTGGGAGGAGCCGCTGGTGTCTGTGCCAAAGTAGATTGTAACACTCGAACCTGCTCAGCTGCAGCGCCGCCCTTCGCGATGATGAACCCCAAAGAGGCGTCAACGTCCAAGGGTACCTGTCCCCGCTGTCCACCACCACCAAGTGCAGGCCGTGGGCCGCTGGGGCGTCCCTTGAGGTAGTTGCTGCAGTACTGGCAAGTGTAGTCGAACTTCTCGAGCTGGTCGTTGTAGCAGAACTTGCCGCACACCTTGCACCAAGTGGCGTCCCTACCCGGCTTGGGCATGGTGATGTTCTGGCTCGAGATATTTGTAGCTGGCTTCCATGGCTCGTTCGTGTCTGAGTTGCCGAATGTCTGTGGTGCACCTCACAGAGCGGGCCAAGCGTCACCAAGAGACGAGTTCGAGCCTGAGGTACCCAATTTTCTCCAAGGAGCCCATTGCTGCCATGAAACCTTATACTGCTGTCTGCCACCCTTTTCCCATGGCTGCGCGCGCCGCGAGAAGAGAAGGGCGGGAAGTAGGATACCTGTGGTGATCAGGTTCCTGAAAATGGATGACAGCTTGCTGCGGACTAGCAGCTTCCTGGCAGGCACGGAGGCGCGGAGCCCCCCGTGTGCAGACATCTTGAGCCAAAATGGCTACGGAGGGGGATGGTGAGGAGCGGGAGGAGGCGGGAGCAGGAAGAGTAGGGGGGGAGGAGAACGACGGGGATGAGGAGGAGGAGGAGGTTGATGAGGAAGAGGAGGAACGGGAGGATGAGGAAGGGGATGAGGATGGCGAGGGAGAGGACGGAGAGGGGGACGAGGTAGAGGGGGTCTTCTCGAACTTCGGGGTTTGAGGTTTTTGCTAGTTTTTTTCGCCCCCTGGGGGCTGCTTCTGGGCCCTGGGGCTGTCGGGAACGGATCCCCGGTGATAAACTGCCTCGACTCGGCCCCAGGAGGGCTCCAGGGACCAATGTTGTGCCGAGTTGGGTCCAGGGGCAGGGGGCAAAGCATCTTAGAGGGCAGGGTGCTTCCAAGAAGCCCCCAGAGGCAGGAGGAGAGGGAGGAGGAGGGAGGAGAGAGGAGGAGGAGGGAGGAGAGAGGAGGAGGAGGGAGGAAAGGGGAGGAGGAGGGAGGAGAGAGGAGGCAGGAGGAGAGGGAGGATGGAGGAGGGAGGGGGGATGGAGGAGGGAGGGTTCCTACGATGCCCTCCCTCCCGGGGCTTCTTAGAGGCACGCTGCCTTCTAATAAGCCTTGCGCCCTTTCCCCTTCCCCGTCGGCGCACCGCCCATCGCTGTCGCTGTCAGCGATGTCGTCGTGGTCGTCGTGGTCCTCTTGGCTTTGGTCGTGGTCGTCGTGGTCGTGGTCCTCCGTGTTCGTCGTGGTCGTCGTGGTCGTGGTCGTCGTAGGCGTGGTCGTCGTGGTCGTGTCATCGTCAGTCTTTGGCTTCTTGGGGGCCGTTCTCGAGCCCCCAGGGCGTTCAGAAGCGCATCCAGGGTGGACAATGGCGTTGGATGGACCCCAGAAAGAGTCCAGGGATCGATTTTGACGTGATTTCGGCCGTCGGTCCTAGATCTCCGGCTTCATCGGAAAATCATGGCCAAGGTTGTTTTCTATGTTTAGCCTCTGGATTCGCTAGGCCTCGGAAGCGTCCAAAAACGACTCGGGATGCAATGCTTGTCCCCAGGGAGGTCTCCAGACCTCAGGGGGCTGATATCGTGAATATTCCATGACGTGGAATGCCTGGGGTTGTCGATCGTCGTCGTCAGTGTCGTCGCCATTATTGTTCTCATCGCCATCATGATCGATCTCATCGGAGCTGGCTCTCGAGACTGAGAAAGAGTAGGAGGTGGCGGAGCGGTGAGCACGAAGAGGGATGGAGGGGGAGGAGAAGGACACTTGGGGAAGGGGAGGGGGCAAAGGATGGCAGGGATGCAGGACGGGGGAGGGAAGATCGAGCCTCGAAACTCTCGGTCGGCCACGTGAGGGAGGTTGAACATGCGTCACTCCTGGGGGGTCCACCGCGGACGGTGTCGGGAGGCAAGCTGGCAGGTGTGCTCCTGTGATAACGAAGACGTGAACGCAGACTGCATCACTGCATCGTGCACCAATCAGTGGTGCGAGCATGTGGCATTGGGCACTTGTGTCATAAGTGTGGCCAGTCGAACTTGCCAGGGCACAGCTGTCGGCTAGCGATCGCTGGGTTCAATCGACCACGTGCTTGACAATGGACCGAGTCTGCTTGTCAGCGCCGCATCCGCTCTGAGGGAGTATAGTAGGTCGCGTTTGCCAATTCGTGGCACCCACAAAAAGAAGTCATAATGTAGCACGAGCTGGCTTCACTACCCATTCTGTGAATTTTGAGTTCGATGCTCGCCAGGTCCTGCCAGTCGGATATACTCGTCTCAGAGTTTTGCAAGCAAACCGATCGAAGCTTATGCTTCACATCTCGACTGCCCACGGCAACAAAGAAGGGCTGCGCTTCTTCCGTGGAACATCCCCTTGGTGGCTCGTTTGTCCTTCGGCCACTTGGTTGAACGACGAGGCGCAAACAGCTCAATTTCCTGTGCAGTGCTTGCAGGTTCCAGGGGTGAGCAGGCGCGCAATGCATGGTATGAAAATGAAGTAACGATGACGCGCCATCTTTGCCGGCAAGCATGGCGTCCATTGATTGTGTGAAGTATTTCTGGCTGGTGCCGCTGATCCTGAAGATGTTGACGACCATGAAGACGAGGAGGGGGGGAGAAGGTGGAGGAGGAGCAGGAGGAGGAGGAGCAGCAGCAGGAGGAGGAGGAAGAGGAGGAGGAGAAAGGGATGAGGAGGAGGAGGAGGAGGAGGCGGAGGAGGAGGAGGAGGGGAGTAGGAGAGGTGGGGAAGGGGGAGGGTACGGGGGAGGGGGAGGATGAGAAGGCGCAGCAGGAGGAAGACGAGGAGGATGCGGAGGAGGAGGAGGAGGAGGAGGAGGAGGAGGAGGAGGAGGGAGAGAGGAGGAGGAGAGAGAGAGCGAGGATGGAGTTGGCGGGAGAAGGAAGGAAGAGGAAGAGGAGGAGCAGGAGGCAGGTTAATGAGGATGAGGATTAGCATGAGGAGGAGGAGGAGGAGGAGGAGGAGGAGGAGGAGGAGGAGAAAGCGGATGAGGAAGACGAGGAGCAGGAGGCAGGGAGGAGGAGGAGGGGAGGAGGAGAAGGAATGAGGAGGAGGATGCGGAGGAGGAGGATGAGGAGGAGAAGGAGGAGGGGGAGGGAGAAGGAGCAGGAAGTGGACGAGGAGGATGCGGAGGAGGCGGATGAGGACGAGGAGGGGAGGGGGAGGGATGAAGAGGGAGAAGGAGGAGAGAAGATGAGGATGATGAGGAGGAAGAGGGATGAGGGAGGAGGAGGAGGCGGCGGGAGGAGGAGGTGGGAGGAGGAGGAGGAGGAGGAGGAGGAGGAGGAGGAGGAGGAGGGAGGGAGGAGGAGGAGGAGGAGGAGGAGGCGGAGGAGGAAGAGGAGAAGGCGGAGGATCTTCGGTCGTTGCCGTCGTCTTCACTTGCGTCCCGTCGAGCTGCCTCTCCCCGTGGCACGTTCCGGCCTGGTTTCTTAAAGCGGATCCTGGAGCGGCGACGAGGCAAGTTTCAGTCTCCCCTGGAAGTCCGACCAATCACAGCACAACAGCAAGCCCTTCAGGGCCGCCGCCGCCGTTGAAGATTCATCTCTAGAGAATAATCATTTACTCGCTTCGCTCCTTCCGCGGGCCCTGGAGCGCTCTTTGGGGCCTCTTGGGGGCCTCTTAGGGGTCTCTTGGGGCTCCTTGGCGGCGTCTTGGGGGCCTCTTTGGGGGCTCTTGGGGGCCTCTTGGGGCGGGAGGGGTAGTTGATTGCGGCTCCCCCCTCGGAGGCCATGACCCTTGTGAGGGTTTGTCGAAAAATTGCCATCCGTTGAAGCGCTCTGGGGGGGATCGCCCGGGACCTGCCCGCGGGACCTAGCCGGGGTACTTTTCGTCCGGGGGCCCCCCGGGGGCCGCTCCGCGCGCGCGAAGAGCTAGAAATATTGTTGACCAGCTCCGAGATCTTAGCACGCCTCTGGCCCGTCGGGCCGGCGAATGTGGGCAGAGGGCCAGAGGTCTCTCGGTCATTGGTTGAGATCCTGGGTCCTCCCGCCTAGCGCACGGCTAGATGTGAGCGCGGCCACGACCGTGGCATCTCACAGAGCAGCCCCAGCACAGCGCAGCACTGCGTCACCACAGCTCCTTCGCGTGACCGCAGGTCGATGCGAGCCACTGAGCAGAGCTCAACATGTGCCGAGATGTGCCGAGTGCAGGATGGCATGTCATGGATTTCTCTGGAATGCAATCGCTTGCATGTGATAATTAGCGTAGGCTTGGTAGCATACGGGTTGGTTGTGCAAATCGTGTCATTGCATCGTTCGGTGTCACAGCAGAGCAGTGGCATTGGTTTTGTATTGCTTGTGCATTGAATTGCTCTTGCGTACTTCACCTTGACTTTGCCAGAGCATCACCTTAGTATTTTTCGAACTGCATTCGCATTGCTTTTGTGTGATTTCTGCGTCGGGCTGACCCGCGCTGTTTTGCATGCTGTTTCTCCATTTACGCCGCGTTGACGTTGATTTAAAGTATGTTTTGCATTGCTGTCCGTAGCGAATGCGGCCTGGGTGTTCGGTCCATCTACCAGGATCCTAGGTGTTGGGCCGATTTCAGAAAATCGCACACGGGCCATCGGTCATAGAGCACCGCCCTCTTGACACCTTTGCAAGAAAGGTCACACCCGTGGTACAGTGAATATTCCTCAAGCCGCTCTGTGGCCCAAGCGGCCCCTCCTCAGGCTGTTCCGACTCGCCGCAGGAGGGGAGGGAGGAGAGGAGGAGGAGGAGGAGGAGGAGGAGGAGGAGGAGGAGGAGGAGGAATAGGAGCGGGAGAGCAGCCTCGTCTGTTGACGTCCACCTCTGCGATGCCGTCCGATCAGGAGCGCGTGGTGCAAGGATTCCGCGCGCTCGACCCCGAGGGCACTGGCGCCGTGCCCCGCGCGGCGTTCGAGCTCGTCTGGCTGAAGGTGCTCGGGGACAGCACGGACCTTCGGGAAGCCCTGGGTGTCGGAGCGCCCGGCGTGGGCGACAACGCGGTCCGCTACGAGGAGTTTTTCGAGTGGATCTACAGTGGCGGCCCTGCCGCTGCAGAGCAGGGGGAGACGACGGCAACGAGCACAGCGCCACTGCTGTCCAAGCCCGAGAGCGTCGCCTGCGACGTATACGTACTCTCAGCGGAGCAGCCGTCGCAGCGGGGTCAGCCGTCGCGCCAGGAGGGAGCCTTCGGACCAGAGAATCCACATTCGACCGGCCACAAACAGTACACCATGGAGCTCGTCTACGCGAGCAGCGGGGACTGGAAGGAGCACTGCAGGCGCATCGAGGTCGAATTCTGGCAGCGTTTCAAGCGGCCCTTCTTCTGCACTGCACACCTCCTCGAGCTGGTTCAGGAGGAGACCTGGGTCGCGGACAGTGGCGGAAACAAGATCGATGGTTTGTTGTGTGAATGGACGAACGGCGAGCTCAACGTCTCTCTGGAAGAACATGACTCTGTTGATTCTGACACTTTTCCGGCATCGTATACCTGGTACTCTGAGGACTCGGATGTGTGCTGTCTGCCAGACTCGGCGTTCCCGGTGACCCTGCATATCTCGTTGCAGGAGAAGCAGCAGGGCGCCGACATGTTCAGGTACACCGAGGGCGAGGACGTTTTCGACACGCTGGCCGCCAAAGTGGATGGGCATCACCCCGTGCGGCTTCTGCGCATGTCCTGGCTTCTGCAGACGGGCGAGCAGGTGCTGAAGCGGCGCCAGGAGTTGCCCGAGAGGGCCTTCATCTCCGCCGAGGAGCTCCACGACGTGTGGGAGAAGGGCGGGCGCGGAGGAGCGGACAAGGTCCTGCCCATTGTCACGATCTCCTTCTGCTGGGACACGCGTGAGCACCCAGACCCCACCGGCCAGCAGCTCAAACGAATCGTCGACACGCTAAACGTTGAGAAAGAGAAGTACGTGAGGAGCGGGGGTTTCAGCGAGATGGGCATCTTCTGGGATTGGGCCTCGCTGCTGCAGGGCGACCTGGAGAAGGTCAGGGAGGCGAAGGGTGCCGCGCTCGCGGCTGGCAAGAGCGAGGAGGACGCCGAGACGGCTGGTTGGGATGCGTTCCGCACACCTGATGAGAAGGCGGCCTTCGGTCACGCCCTTCGTCAGACCATGGACCTCTGGTATGCCCACCAGGGGACAACGGTGTTCCTCCTGACACAGCACCCACGGGAGCGGGGTAGCCAACGCCCGACCGGGTACGATGAGTCTGGCTGGCCCACGTACGAACGCTGCTCCGCGGAGCAAATCAAAAACTTCAACCGCAAGGACGCGGAGTGGGATGCGGTGCTGGACCTCGGCAGCGGAGGCGGCGCCCAGGCATCTGGCAGGCGCTGGCCAGTTGGCCCCGACGATTTCGACAGCATGATCGAGACCCGGTCTTTCAAAAACGGGTCCGATCGCGACGCCGTCAAGGGGCTCTTCTGGAAGATGAGCGTGGCCCAGCTGGGCAGCGTGCGAGAGTTGGACTTCCTTGGGATGCCGCGCCCAGAGCCCGCCGACATGGCCCGGCTCGGGCGCTGCCTGCTGCTCTGCGCGAGCTTGCAGCAGCTCGACCTGAGTAGCTTGGGGGGCCGCTGCCTGAGTGACACGGCGAACCCGGGGCTGCCGCCCCCCTGCCTGCGCGAGCTAGCCGCTCCCCTGGCGGCCGCCCCGCGGTCGCCTCTCCCAGCCCTGCGGGAGCTCTGTCTAAACGACAACTGCGCCGGCGACGCAGGGGCCGTGGCGCTGGCTGGCGCGCTCCCCGCCGCCCCCGCGCTGCAGGTACTCAGGCTCGGAAGTAACGCCATCGGGGACGCCGGCGCCGAGGAGCTGGCGCGCGCGCTCCCCGCCGCCCAGGCGCTGCAGGTGCTCGGGCTCGGAGGGAACGCCATCGGGGACGCGGGCGCCGTGGCGCTGGCGCGCGCGCTCGCCGCCCTCCCGGCGCTGTGGGAGCTCGACCTCTCCTGGAACGCCATCGGGGACGCGGGCGCCGAAGAGCTGGCGCGCGCGCTCCCCGCCGCCCCAACGCTGCAGACGCTCGAGCTCCACGGGAACGACATTGATGACGATGGCGGAATGGCACTAGCGGCCGCTTGGGCTCCGCGGTCGAAAAATGGTTTTAAACTGGGGAACGAAGGTGGTGAGGCCTTCATTGACCTTTAAGAACATTACACAGGGTTTGTCCTTCATTGACTTTTTCACTGAGTCACGCAGGTGGTCAGGCAGGCTGGAGCTCGAAGAAAGTGTCGATAATTCTTGAATTAGCTCTCCCTCCTCCTCCATCGGTCCGTCCTCGCACCCCCTCCTGGCTTCTCCCTCCTCGCTCATGGCGCCGCCCGGGCACGCCGGCGAGTAACCCCAGTTGCCGTCTGCCCTCTCTCTTCCCCCCAGGGTGGACGCGGAACTCTCGGAGACAGCAGATGCATGACAATAAGTGTTGTTGCATGTAAGTGCAAATTTGTTGGCTAAGTGCTCCATGCTTAGCTGCCTGTGAGCGCCAATAAATTTTCAATGCCCCGTCTCGACTGCTTTAAACCAGTCCCTGTTCATTGACTGATCTCTTCGTCTGGGTGCCGAGGCTAGGGCTCCCTAGGAGCGTTCTTACAGAAGCGTCCCGCACGTATCAACGATGACATGGATCTTTTTGCGAAGTCGTGCTGCATGTCTGCCCACCCTGGGTGTATAAGGAAAAACATCGAGTCGCGAATGTGTGCTCATTTTTTAGAGGGGCAACCTGAACGACCGCAGCCAACTGCACGGCCACGTGTTCCATCCCGTTCTTTCGGAGCTAACGGGGATGCCTCCCGTTGTATATTTCTTCCTATTTCTATATTTTTGTCGGGCAGGAGGGGGCACACCCCAGCCCCCCCCCTAACGAGTTTCGCCTCCTCGGGCCTGTCGAAAATATTTATTTTCCATAGTTTTTCTTTGGTTTTCGACTCTCCGGGCCCCCTTGGGCCAGCCTTGGGCTTTTTTGGGGCTCGTCCGGAGACTCATTTGGAGCCATCCTGGGCAAAAGCCATGGTTTTTCCAATGGTTTTCGTAGTGGATTTTCACTTCTTGGGCCGTCTGCGGCTAGGCTTGGGCCTCTGTGGGCCTCCGCTTGCGCCTCTCTGGGGCCATCCTGGGGCTATCTTGACGCTTTCCGAGCCGACCGGAAACGAAAATGCGAGAAGGCCGAAAACATGGCTTTTCCGATAGGTTTCCATTGATTTTCGAAAGCCAGGGCCCTCTAGGGCCAGTCTGTGTGCCCTCCTTCGGGCTCGTCTGGGGACTCCTTTGGAGCCGCCCTGGGCTAATCTTGATGCCTCAAGAGCCACTCGGAAGCGACACGGCGAGAAGACCAAAAAAACATTGATTTTCCAATGATTTTCCTAAGCCTGTCTATCTTAGGGACCCACTCTCTGGGCCCTGCTGCGCCAGCCCTGGGCCTCTGTGGGGATCGAGAAGTAGGAGGTGGAGTAAGAGGAGGAGGAGGAGGAGGAGGAGGAAGAGGAGGAGGAAGAGGAGGAGGAGGAGGAGGAGGAGGAAGAGGAGGAGGAGGAGGAGGAGGAGGAGGAGGGGACGGAGGAGGAATTGGAGGAATAGGTGGAGAGAGGAGAAAAAGGATAAGGATGAAGAGGAGGAGGAGGAAGAGGGGGAGGAGAAAGAGAAGGAGGATGCCCTGCTTCATGCTAGCCCAACCACTCGCCTGAGACGTACTCGCGCCTCTGGGCCTGGAAACGCCCTGAGCTGAGCTCAGCTGGCGTTGTCCGGTCGCTCTCGCTTGGGAAGTCTTCACCCATCCCAAATCGACGGCGGTCCGCCCCATGCCCACGTGCACGCACGCCGCCTGCATTCGAATTTGCAAGGAACACGGTGCAGTCTTGTATTTATATATTTTTATAGGGCCGGGGCCGCCCCCCCCAAACGAGTTTCGTTTCTTCGGGCCTGTCGAACACAGTGTTTTTGTCAATGGGCTTTCCTCGGTTTTCGACTCTCTGGGTCCTCTTGGGCCAGCCTTGGGCCTTTTTGAGCTCGTCTGGAGACTCATTTGGAGCCGTCCTGGACACCTCACCTCTCCGAGAAAGTTCCGAGAAAGTTCCGAGAAAGTTCCGAGAAAGTTCCAGGGGTGTCTGTGAGAGCGGGGAGGGGCGCTTGTAGGAGAGAAAGCGGAAGAGCGGACAGGGATATGTGGGAAGGGGAGAGGGGGGGGGTCTGTTGTTGGGGGAGGGGTGGGTTGTCGAAGGGGCGGGGAAAGTGTGGGAGCGAGGGCGGCGTCTGTCCAGGACAGGAGAGAGGTTCTGTCGGAAAGAAGGAAGGAGATTTCTCGGAGAGGTGAGGTCTGTCCTGGAGGGCGGAGGGGTCTGTCGGAGTGGGGGGGGGGTCTGTGTGAGCGGGGGGGGGTCTGTAGGAGAGAAAGCGGAAGAGCGGAAAGGGATATGTCGGAAAAGGGGGGGGGTCTGTCCTGGATGGGGGGAGTCTGTAGGAGAGAAGTCGGAAGAGCGGAAAGGGATGTGTCGGAGGGGGGGGTCTGTCCTGGAGGGGGGGTGTAAAAGCGCGAGACGTCAGTGAAGGGGGGAGGGGAAGAGGGAGGGGAGTCTATCGGAGAAAGGGAGAGCAAGTGTGTTGGAGAAGAGAGGGGAGGGGGTCGGAGAGGACGGGGGACGGGCTTGTGGAAGCGGAGGGAGCGTCTGTCCTGGAGGGGGGTCTGTCGGGGAGGTTGGGGGGAAGAGATTTGTAGGAGAGAGGAAGAGACTTGTCAAGAAGCAGAGGGGGAGTCTGATGCTGCTGCTGCTGCTGCTGCTGCTTGTGCTGCTGTTCTAGGGGGGTCTGTCGGAGAAAGGGGGGGTGGTTGGAGAGAAGGGAGGGGTCTGTCGGAGAAGGAAATCTCTGTCGGAGAGGCGGGGGGGAGGATCTGTTCGGAGAGGGGGGAAGGGGTCTGTCGGAGAGGGGTGGGGTCTGTCCTGGAAGGGGGGGGGCTGTCGGGGGGGGTCAGGGAAGAAGATGCTTTTCGGAGAGAGAGGGAAGTGGGTATGTGTGGGAGGCGGGGGGGCTTGTGCTTTCAGTGAATTCCGTTGGAATTCGTCCCCCCCCTTCTCCAGAGCTCGCGCGCGTTCAGTGAATTCCGTTGGAATTCGCCCCCCCCCCCCCCCCCTCTCCAGAGCGAAGCGTCCCCCCCCCCTCTCCAGAGCTTGTGCGTTCAGTGAGCTCCGTTGGAATTCGTCCCCCGCCCCCCCCCCCCCGGAGGCGGAGGCGTGTGTGCGTTCAGTGAGCTCCGTTGGAACCCGTCTCCCCCCCAAGCCCTCTCCAGAGCGAAGCGTCCCCCCCCCTCTCCAGAGCTTGTGTGTTCACTGAATTGCGTTGGAATTCGTCCCCCCCCCCACTCCCCTCTCCAGAGCGAAGCTTGAGCGAGCTCAAGCCCGCGCTCTCACAAACTCACACGCCGGATCGGCGGATTACGGCTGGAGTGATGATAGTTGAAGTGAAGCATGTTAGAATGATGTTGGTGGCCGTTTCCTGCGCCCCCCCTGTGGTATCTAGAATATGCCACGCCTTCTACGCCCTGGACGATCGGCTCGGATAGCGGCCGCGCTCAGAGACCACCCCCTGCGCACCCCGTATGGTGTCGAGAAAGTGCCACGCCTTCTACGCCCTGGACGACTGGTTTTGATAGCGGTCGCGCTCAGAGACCACCCCCTGCGCACCCCCTATGGTGTCGAGAATATGCCACGCCTGCTATGCCCTGGATGGACGATCGGCTCGGATAGCGACCGCGTTTTGCGAGCACGAAACGGATAGCGCTCCCACCCCCAGCGCAGCCCCTGTGGTGTCGAGGAAACGCCGCGCTTGCAATTTTTTTGCGAACCCGGAACGGATGGCGCTCCCACCCCCAGTTCACCCCTTGTGGTGTCGAGAAAGTGCCAAGCCTGCCACGCTTTGCGAGCCCGAAACGGGTAGCGCTCCCACCTCCAACTCACCCCCTGTGGTGTCGAGGAAGTGCCACGCCTGCCACGCTTTGCGAGCCCGAAACGGATAGCTTTCCCACCCCCAGCTCACCCCCTGTGGCGTCGAGGATGTGCCACACCTGCCACGCCTTGCGAGCCCGAAACGGATAGCGTTCCCACACGTCTTGTGTGTGTGCGTGTGCGATTGTGCATGCGTGCGGCTGCATGTAGACGCGTGTCTGATGCACGTGCCGTGCATGGGTTGCGTGTGGGTGAAGGGAGGAAAAAGGAGGAGGAGGGAGGTGAGGTGGGTGAGGAGGAGACGCGGGTGCGACGCGGCAGGGGTGAAAACCAGACCCCCACGAAGCATGTGGGGAAAAATCATCAGTTTTCAATACTCCCTACCAAACAGTGGAGCAAAGTCCGCACGCGCGCGTCGTCGCGCGCGCGTACAGTAATTCTTCAAAAACCGCTAGTTGCGTGCGGACTTCTAGATCGAGTTGCCCGAAACATATGAACAGCACATGGCTTTGCAACATGCTGTTTCAAGAATGTTCGCGCACGCCCTTGTGAATTCTTACGAGAATTACCAGTTCAGTCACATTTCATCCAATTCGACGACGGGGGCCTCTCGCGCGCATGTCGAAATCATTCGAACGCCTTCGCGCGCTTGCTGGGGGGGCACGATCCTGCCAAACGATGCCATGCGGGCCACTCGCGCCCGTCGGCCGCGCAAGCCAAAATCCAACCAAAACTGTCATCATCGACTCGTGCGCATCGTCATCGGCGTGACCAGGCCATTGGCTTTGCCGTCGTCATCGCAACGGTCGTCACCAGCATCGCTACTATCATCATCATGTTTGCCGTTGTCGACGTCGCCATGATACAGTTGAGGGAACAATTCAGCACCCCCCCCTCCCCCCACAGTTCAAAGTTGGCACGTGTACGCATCACTGGTCCAACATTCAAATTCGGGAGACCCGAGCCCAACATTGCATTCGGGGGATGGGGGGGCACACCATATGTCATGCGTGAGTGTTACTTCATTGTTTTGGACACCTGTACCGCGCCCGCCCGAGTCATCGACTCGCCCGGAAGTGTCCGCTCGTCAGCGCGGCCTGCAAGACGTACTGGGAAGTGCCCAGCGGTCAGCGTTAGCCCGGCCACAGCGACGCGCCACCCAGCGCCAAGCAGTCAGGGCTATTGCCGCCGCGTCGGTTTTGCAAACCTAATTGCGGGTGGGTCGGTGGGATGGTTGCGCGATCCGTGGAGTTGACAATTTCAAGTTCGGCAGGGCGAATTGCACCACATGTGTTGCAACACGTATATAACACATCATAGATTGCACCACGCCGATTGCACCACATATAGCACACAGCATACATTGCACAACACGTGCTGCACAACGTAAATCGCACCACATATCTTGCACAACGTAGATTGCTCCACGCCTATTGCACCACGTACTTTGAACAGCGTAGATTGCACCACGCCGGTTGCAGCATATATGTTAAACAGCGTAGATTGCACAGCGTAGATTACACATCGTTTTATTGCACCACGTATGTTCTCTTTTCGAAAATAGAATTCGGATATCCCCCCTTTTTCCTGGGTTATCCGTACCCCCTTGGGGATGTTGCTTCATCGGAAAAGGAAAATATGAATCTCGACCATCACAGCCAGGCGGGTCTCGACCCCCCATTTTCGCCAAATGATATTACGCGCTTGTTTAGCTAACATCTTCCAATTTCAAAATGAGTTTCTACCACAGAAGGACAAAGTTCACACGCGCGCGTTGTCGCGCGCGCATGCAAAAATCTTTCAATAATGTTAGGCTTCGTGAGGATATCAAAATCGCGTATGAGAGAGAGTGGGAGAAAAAGAGGGAGGGAGGGAGAGCGAGGGAGAGCGAGAGAGTGCTGGTCTTGAGCTGCTTGGGTTCCTTAAGAGAGCGTCCCACTCGAGGGCCCTACGAGTGGCGATCGAGGACTACGGAGGAGTCCCGCAGGGGGGGACGGGGAGTCCCAGACCGCCCTGTGCGGCAGCGGTCCCGCGGCGGTTTCGCTCGAGATGTCCCCACGATTCAGTGATTTAGAAATTATGCTCTCGCATCAATGTCGGCTGCACATTTGATCCGGACGGCCACGACCCCTTGTCCAATACGTACTCAGCTGCAAACGCTCATGCTCTAACACCCCTGTCCCGGCTGCATCTGTTCTTCTCTCGCGTCGCAAAAGTGAGCGCCCTGCCGCATGTCGTGTGATTCTTGTGAGACCGTCGGAACACGCAGGAAGACACGTTTTCACTGGCCGACCTCCTGCTTCTCGACCCGCCTCTTCACCTTTGCTGCTCTTAGAGTAACTTGCTGTTTGTTTTGCTTTGCTTCGTGTGTTCTCTCTCTCTCTCTCTGCTGTAAATGTGTTAACATCTACCCTTTTTCATCTACACCATGCCAGCTTATTTGTTATGATGTGCTCTCTGCTCACTGTCTGTTCTGGTGATCGGTGCAATTGCTGGTTATGTTGTTGCAGCACCAGCTTGTTTGCATGTGTGTACCCACATCCTCATATGTGTCATCACTGGCGCAATGGCTTCATATCGCATACATTGTTTTGCTGCTTGTAGTGGCAGCGTTCGCGACCTCACTGTCCGCCAGTCCCGTTTGTTTTTCTCATTGTCCTCATTTTCCTCGCTCTCCTCTTTGTCCCCACGTGTAGTCAGAGCCGTGGACTAGATACCACATTGGTTTTGACAGTGCCTCAGCTCCCCCTTGGGCTCTTCTTGTAGATCTGGGCGCAATCGAGGCCAAAAGGCTTTCTGTTCCCCTCGTCGTGCCAGGTTCCTTACAGGCGTCGGAAAAAAATCAAGCAACACTCACGCGTAACATGTGGTTTCTTTCCCCCCCTCCCCCCGAATGCAATGTTGGTTCTGGATCGTACGAGTTTGAGTGTCCGAGCGGTAGTGCGTAAATAAACGTGCCACCTTTGAATTGCGGGGGAGGGGGAGGTGCTGATGATCTGTTTGCCTCCACCGTGTGGCCAGATTTGAAAGAGCGTGTTCTACCGCTGCTGGCGGAAAACCGGGGGGGGTCACTACCGGTTCGAACCCCTCCCCCCCCCCTCCGGAAAACCGGGGGGGGTCACTACCGGTTCGAACCCCTCCCCCCCCCCCCCCCAGTTCATCATGAAAAGGGGGGGGGGTCACTACCGGTTCGAACCCCCCCCCCCTCGAAAACCGAGTGGGGGTGCGGACAGTGGTGGGGACGGTGTTGGTGGGGACAGTGGTGAGGGGACAGCGGGACAGTGGTGGGGACAGTGGGGGGACAGTGGGACAGTGGTGGGGACGGTGTTGGTGGGGACAGTGGTGAGGGGATAGCGGGACAGTGGTGGGGACAGTGGAACAGTGGGACAGCGGTGGGGACGGTAGTGGTGGGGACAGTGGTGGGGACAATGGTGGGAACAGGGGGGGACAGTGGACAGTGGTGGTGACGGTGGTGGTGGGGACAGTGGTGTGGGGACAATGGGAACGAGGTGGAAACAGTGGGACAGTGGAGGGTACAATGGTGGTGGGGACAGTGGTGAAAGCGGTGGCGAAGACGGCGGTGGGACAATGGGACAGAGGTACAGTGGGGACAGTGGTGGGGACAGTGGGGACAGTGGTGGGAACAGTGGGACAGCTCAGTGGGACAGCGGGGGAGTCAGTGGGACAGTGGGGACAGTGGGGACAGTGGGGACAGTGGTGGGAACAGTGGGAAGCTCAGTGGGACAGCGGAGGAGTCAGTGGGACAGTGGGGACAGTGGGGATAGTCGGGCAGTGGTTGGGGCCGTGGAGACTGGGGAGAGTGGAACCGTGGTGGGAACAGTTCTGGGGACAGCGGGGACAGTGCGACAGTGGTGGGGCCACTGGTGGGGACAGTAGGGGCGGTGGTGGGACAAGGGGCCAGCGGTGGTGAGGACAGTGGTGCTGGGAACACCAGTGGGGGATGTGATGCGGACGGTGGTGGGGACCGGGAGTCGTTTGCTGGCGGTGAGTAGGGGGGGGGGGGGGGGGGGGGGGGGGGGGGGGGGGGGGGTTCGAACCGGTAGTGACCCCCCCCGGTTTTAGGATCCGGAGGGGGGGGGGGGGGGGGGGGAGGGTTCGAACCGTAGTGACCCCCCCGGTTTCGGCGGGAGGGGGGGGGGGGGGGGGGGGTTAGGGGAGGGGGGGGTTTTGCCGGGGAGAAGGGGGGGGGGGGGGGGGGGAGGGGTTCCGGCAGGGGGGGGGGGGGATTTTCGGAGGGGGGGGGGGGGAGACCCCCGGGTTCCGGAGGAAAAGGTTGGCAATTTTCCACAGTAAAGCGGCGGTGGATCACGCTCTCTCCCAGATTTGGGCTGTAGCCATCCTGGTTCAGGCGAGTTCGGCTCGGCAGCGGGCTCCTTCGGGAGGGGGCGCGGGCGGCGCTCTCACCAGCCCGCCTGGGTCACCGATGGGATGGTGAGGCGCACGAGCCCATCAGTCGGCGGCGAGCCCAGGGGGGAAGGGAGGGGGGGGCGGGCCTTCTCAGACGGTGCCCGCCCTGGGCTGGAGGCACACAGACAGCGAGACACGCTTTGCGTGGGGGGGGGGGGGGGGGAAAGATGGTGGCGGGGGCCTTTCAGAAGCCCTCAGGCCCCTCGGAGAAGTTTCTGCTGTCTTTGGAGAGGGCTCAGACAGCTCCTCGGAAGGGCGGGAGGCCCTCCGAGCCTTCGAGGGGGCCCGCCCCCTCTGACCCCCCCCCCCGGTGGCGCGCCGCCGACTCAGAAGCCCCATACCTCCGACGTCGTGGCTGCTTCCGGGCGGGCGCCGGCCCCCGGAGCTCCCGGCCCTGTCTTGCGGGGCCTGCGGCGCTTAAGGAGTCGGCCCCCGGAGGCCGAGGCAGGGCAGGCGCCAGGGCGGAAGGAACCGTGGCATCGGGGGTCCCGGGGCGCCCCCCTGAGAGCCGAGGCCGCGGAAGAGGTCCGACGTCGCGAGGAGTCACGACAGGAGCTCTTCGACCCCATCTTTCTGCGTCCCGGAGGAGCAGGCACGCTTGTGTCACTTGGGTGGGTTACGTCGGCCAGCGGAGCTCAGGCCACGCCCGGGAGGCGGTCTCCTCCTCCTTCTCCTCCTCCTCCTTCTCCTCCTCCTCCTTCTCCTCCTCCTCCTTCTCCTCCTCCTCCTTCTCCTCCTCCTCCTCTTCCTCCTCCTAGCCGGATCGACCCGCGAGCGTCACGAGGCCCGCAACGGGGAGAACGCGCCCGTTTGTGGAGACAGCGCGACGCCCAGGTCTCGGGGAGCCTCCGCCAGTGCCGTCGGTGCGGGTTGGGGCCGGCCTCCCATGGGCGCCGGGGTCGCCGTGCTGCAGGCCCTGTGGTCGTCGGTCGCGGCAGGGGCGGACCCTAGCTTGAAGTCGGGCCCGTCCCTCTACAGGGGGAATACTCAAAAATAGTTAAAAAAATGAAAAAAAGTCGGGGGACGATTTGTTGTTGTTTATTTTCTGGTTATTCTTGAAGTATTTTGGGGGTATTTTTAATTTTTCGTCCAAGATCCCCCTGCAGGGGGTACTTTTTGGGATACTTTTTATTCTAGGGACATTGTTGGCGCATTTTTTATGTTTCGCCCGAAATCCCCCTGTATGGGGGACAGGCCCGACCTGACCCTGGCTGCGAGCTGGAGCGGCTCGACGCGCGCGCGCCTGGCGCCGTCGGCCGGTTCGCGAGGGAGTTCCGGGGCAGGAGGGCCGTGCTGATCTCGGAGGCTTGCAGGTGGACGCCAGCACCACTATCGCAGGAGTGAAAAAACACACACACACACAGACACAATGAATCGTCGATTCCCCAGGAAATGTGGGAAAATATGGGCAGCGGGGGGGAAGACGAAAACCCAGAAAATATAATGAAATATGGGGAAGATTTTTATTTGTGTGTATTTATTTGTGTGTCCTGGGGCCCCTTCACTATGCGCGGTAAGGATGCAAGAGCCTTGGAGGGCCACGTTGACGTTTTTCGAGCGAGATTGGCCAGCGAAAGCGGCCAAGGATGGACCGAGGAGGCAAGGATGCAAGGGTACCCTTGGTAGGGATGCCCATCCTGACTATGCGGGTTGACCGTGTCGGCGGTGTGCCTTCACCCAGGGAAGACGCGCCTGGTCTCGGTGACGGGGGCAGTGTTCGGGCTTCCTGCCGGGTGCCGAAAGACTACCAACGGCGCCAGAATCTAGGATCGCCTTCCCCCGGTGGAGGCATCCACTTGTGTTGTGGAAGTCGATCAATGCAGAGGAAGCATGCTGCCAAATAATTTCCAGATGTCTGAAAGATGTTTCAAACATGTTTCAAAGATGTTAAAAACATGGTTGAAACAGTTTTAGAACATGTTTTTCTCATTTTAGACACATCTGTAACTCAATGACAGGATTGTTAGAGTGCCCATTGCCATGCCATCCACAACACTTGTGATTCTGCTGGTGCTCATTCCCAAGCCTCCAGTGATCGAGGGCGCGACGGAGAGCTGGGAGGTGCTGGGCTGGAGCGCGGAGGACTGGCAGCGCACCCTCCAGCGCTCCACCCTCCCACTGCGCCGGTCTGCCCGAAGGGCAAAAAGCTGCAGCCGCATGCACTTTTGGAGGTCCGTGTGGGTTTCTCGGGTCGGCCTTGGGGACCCCCCGGGGGGCGCCCCTGGCGCCGCCCCTTGCGCGCTCCGCGCGCCAGAGAGGGGGTCCCAGCGCCAAATCCAAGACCTTCCTTGGTATCGCTCGGACGTGTGCACTCTTTCCTGGCGGGGGCTCTTAAGGGGCATCCTGGATCATCCTGCGAAAAAACCACGCACGAAAGCAAAAACAACAGGGAATGGACCTCCGAGCGACGGGGTTGCGCGGACCTTCGAGAGATCATGTTTGCGCCGCTTTCTGTTCTTCTCTCAGCCACCGTGGCGCAGCAGGGCGGGTGGCACGGGGTGACGAATGTGTCGGGCAGCGAGTTTCTGGCGTCCCGGCCTGTGCGGTCGGGCCGGGAGTCGCTGGTCTTTACAACGTCGCGAAAGGACGCCTTCGTCCAGGAGCTGTTGGCGCTCGGGCTGATCGAGACGCCCCCTTTGCTGGAGAAGATAAGCCTCTTTCCAGTGGTGAGCCTCGGCCACACTGGGGAGGGGCTCCCGTACCACGAGCACGAGGAGACATGGCTGGCAATCGTGCAGGGATCGAAGCAGTGGTTCTTTCGGGCGCCAGAGGGGAAGCCACCAGACAGCGCGAGAGTAAGGGTGGACGCTGGCACCGCGGCCAAGGAGGAGGGCGCCATAAGTTGCCTTCAGCGCAGGGGTGAAATCGTCTACTTCCCAAGCCACTGGTGGCATGCGACTTACAACGCCGCCAGCAGCAGCGGCGGCAGCCGCGGTGTTACGATCGGCCTGGGCGGCCTCGGCTATGCCGAGGGCGCCGTGGCTCTGGCGGCGAAGGGTGACGTGAAGGGCTTGGAGAGGCAGTACAGCCGCCGCGAATTGCCAGGCCGTGTGTTACAAGAGGCCGCCACCGCCGGGCACGCAGCGGTAATACGGTGGTTGGTCGCCAAGGGCCTGAAACTGGGCGGCCCGAAGAAGAGGGGCCTGAAGTCGCTACACCTGGCCATCAGGCACGGGCACGTGGAGGCGATCGAGCTTCTCGCGCAGCACGGTGTGCGCCTGGACGCCCCCCTCGCCAAGGACGGCACCCAGCCGCTCCACGCCGCCGCCGCCAGCGGCCACACGGAGGTGATCTCCTGCCTGCTGGACCTCGGAGCCCACGTGGAGCTGCCAGACGGGAGCGGCACCACCCCGTTGGGGTTCGCAGCGGGGTACGGCGGCCACCTGCCCGCCGCGGCACTGCTGCTGCAGCGGCGGGCGGCGGTGGGCGCGGCGTCGGAGAGGGGCGGGCACCAGCCCCTCCATCTGGCCGCCTCGAACGGGCACTCCGAGGCCATCGACCTCCTGCTGGAGGCCCGCGCGGCCCTGGGCGCCGCGCTCCACTCGGGCGCCCGCGCGGAGCACTCGGCGGCCTTCGGCGGCCACGCGTCCGTGCTCGCCCTCCTGGCGGAGCGGCGCGCCGACGTCGTCGGCGGCACGGGCCCCCGGGGGCCGCGCGCCGCGGACGCAGCGGCGCAGGCGGGCCACGTCCCGGTGCTGCGGTGGCTGGCAGACAGGGGAGGGGAGGCCAGTCCGGCCGCGGCCAGGGCCGCCGGGCATCGCGCCGTGCTGGCGTGGATGGCGGAGCGGGCGCGCGGGGCGCGCGAGGGGTCGGGGCAGGCGGAGCTCTAGGACGGCCCCCGCCGCCGTGCGGGCGAGGCTGCCGGAAGGGGCGCGCGGGCGGGCGCGGGATCGGGGCCGTCGAAGCTGCAGGACGGCCGTGGCACCCAGAGCACGTGTTTGTCTGTTGCCCGGATTTGTTGTCCTTCCCTTTCTCCCTCCACGTCCTAGCCCCAGTCCTCCTCGCCCCCTGTCCGCCCTTACGCGTGCCCACTCCTGGTCCACAGGACTACAGAGTTGGTCTGGGGCTGGCCTGCATCATTTCCGAAACGTCCAATCATGGTACGATGCCTTTCCTCCACAAGCTGGAGGGACCCGATAATTATGGGAAGTCTTGAACATCGAAATCCGGGCCTAACGAGCCCCATAGCCTTTTGAACACTCACATGTGTATGAGCCCTAGAGCACTCCACTACTTGCCGAGGCACGGTGGCGGATATCAATGTCCATGTCGTGCCCCCTCACTGGCTCAGGTCTGGAAGATCGAGTTTGCATTTCTTTGTGTCACCAGGCCATGTGGAGTCACACCGACAAGCTGCCAAAGAAGGGTTCCACGTGGGATGGCGGACGGGTAGCCCGAATTGTATCATCGCGTGCAATCGCACAGTACACAGCACCATCTGGTGTCTGGCGACGGGCAGCACCATACCGTGCCGGAACGCAAATAAACACAATTACACAACGCACGTACGCGCCTTTGCCGCAGTCATGTTGCAGTACTTCTGTGTTTGGTAGACCTGTTTGCCTTCGATACCCCAGGCTGCGATCGGATTCATTGCAGCCCCGTTCCGAGACAGCTGTCCACAGAAGCGCGCCCATTGTTCCCGCACGTAGGTAGCATTGTTTTTTCCTGTTCGCGTGGTTTGCAAATTTCAAAGAGTGTTGGCAGTGTCCCGAACAGGCGCCCCTCTTCCGTTCTCCCCCCTCCATTACCCCTCCTACATACCTCCTACCTCCCTCTCCATGCTCCCCCTCCGCCCTCATTATTCCTCCCCTCCCTCCGTCTCTCCGCCTTCTCCCCCTTTTTATCATCAGCAGCATCATCATGATGATCAGCATCATCATCATCATCATCGTCGTCATCATCATCATCATCACCATCATCATCATCCACATCATCATCTCCATCAGCATCAGCATCAGCAACAGCGCCATCATCATCGTCACCATCATCATCGTCATCGTCATCGCCATCCTCATCCCCGTCTTCAGCAGCACCATCATCTTCTTCATCGTCATCGTCATCGTCATCGTCATCCGCATCACCCTCATCATCATCATCACCATCATCTTCTTCATCGTCATCATCATCACCATCCTCATCGTCATCATCATCATCACCATCCTCATCATCACCATCATCATCATCACCATCATCATCATCATCATCATCATCATCATCATTATCATCATCATACCTCTTCCCTCCTCCGCCGCCGAAGCACCCAGGGGCCGCAGCGTCGGAGAGCCCCTCGGCTTCAATAGTTCCTGCGCCCCGCCTTGCCTGGAGAGGGAACGCCGAGGAGGAGAAATGGGAGGAGGAGTCGGAGGAGGAGGAGACGGAGGAGGAGGAGGAGGAGGAGGAGGAGGAGGAGGAGGAGGAGGAGGAGGAGAGACGGAGGAGGAGGAGGAGGAGGAGGAGGAGGAGAGAGGAGGAGGGAGGAGGAGGAGATGGAGGAGGAGGAGGAGGGAGGAGGAGGAGGAGGAGGAGGAGGAGGAGGAGGAGGAGGAGGAGTAGGCGGCGGCGGCGGCGGCGGCGGCGTTCCACAAGAGCCCGAAGCGGTTCGAACTTGGGAGGGCGGAGGCAGGTGCCCTCCTTTCATATCGGCTGCTCGGCACCTCACCCGCGAGGGGCACTCTAGCGGCAGCCCCGTGCGCGCGCGGGGGCAGCCAGCGCACAGCCCGTGCCGGCGTGGCTCCACCCCCGCAAGGGTGGCGAGGCCAAAACTAATCTGGATTCTTTTTTACCTTACAGCGAAGACTGATAGGTTTCTAGTAGGGTCAGAAGAAAGCATCATGACGCCCCAGGGGGGTCTGGGCGCGATCTGGGGAGATGCCGGGGATTTTTTTTGCCAACAGTTACACACTTCGTGGCCTTTGAGGCCTCAGAACTCCATTCCCGGGCCACATTCTGAATGCCCGGAGCCAACTGTAGGCCACTTCGTGGTCTTCGAGTTCCCAGAACTCCATTCCCGGGCCACACTTTGAATGCCGGGAGCCAACTGTAGGCCACTTCGTGTTCTTCGAGTTCCCAGAACTTTATTCCCGGGCCACATTTTGAATGCCCGGAGCCAACTGTAGGCCACTTCGTGGTCGTCGAGTTCCCAGATCTCCATTCCTGGGCATGATTTTGAATGCCGGGAGCCAACTGTAGGCCATTTCGTGTTCTTCGAGTTCCCAGAACTCCATTCCCGGGCCACATGTTGAATGCTGAGGCAGGCTGATGCTGAGGCTGAGGCAGGCTGAGGCTGAGGCAGGCTGAGGCTGAGGCCGAGGCTGAAGGCAGACTGAGGCTGAGGCTGAAGCAGGCTGAGGCTGAGGCTGCAGGCTGAGGCTGAGGCTGAGGCTGCTGAGGCAGGCTGAGGCTGAGGCTGAGCAGGTGAGCGAGGCATGCGAGGCTGAGGCAGGCTGAGGCTGAGGCTGAGGCTGAGGCTGAAGCAGGCTGAGGCTGAGGCTGAGGCAGGCTGAGGCTGAGGCAGAGTAGGCTGAGGCAGGCTGATGCTGAGGCAGGCTGAGGCTGAGGCTGAGGCTGATGCAGGCTGAGGCTGAGGCACGCTGAGGCTGAGGCCGAGGCTGAAGGCAGACTGAGGCTGAGGCTGAAGCAGGCTGAGGCTGAGGCTGAGGCAGGCTGAGGCTGAGGCTGAGGCAGGCTGATGCTGAGGCAGGCTGAGGCTGAGGCTGAGGCTGAGGCTGAGGCTGAGGCAGGCTGAGGCTGAGGCAGGCTGAGGCTGAGGCCGAGGCTGAGGCAGGCTGAGGCTGAGGCTGAAGCAGCTGAGGCTGAGGCTGAGGCAGGCTGAGGCTGACGAAAGAGGCAGGCTGATGCGAGGGCAGGCTGAGGCTGTATGGCTGACGCTGGGCGAGGGCTGATGCAGGCTGAAGGCTGGAGGCTGAGGCTGGCAGGCTGAGGCTGAGGCCGAGGCTGAAGGGAGACTGAGGCTGAGGCTGAAGGCTGATGCTGAGGCTGAGGCTGAGGCCTGAGGCTGAGGCAGGCTGAGGGCTGAGGCTGAGGCTGAGAGCTGAGCTGAGGCTGAGGCAGGCTGAGGCTGAGGCCGAGGCTGAAGGCAGACTGAGGCTGAGGCTGAAGCAGGCTGAGGCTGAGGCTGAGGCAGGCTGAGGCTGAGGCTGAGGCAGGCTGATGCTGAGGCAGGCTGAGGCTGAGGCTGAGGCTGATGCAGGCTGAGGCTGAGGCAGGCTGAGGCTGAGGCCGAGGCTGAAGGCAGACTGAGGCTGAGGCTGAAGCAGGCTGAGGCTGAGGCTGAGGCTGCAGGCTGAGGCTGAGGCTGAGGCAGGCTGATGCTGAGGCTGAGGCTGAGGCTGAGGCTGAGCTGATGCAGGTGAGGCTGAGGCAGGCTGAGGCTGAGGCCGAGGCTGAAGGCAGACTGATGTTGAGGCTGAGGCTGAGGCTGAGAGGCTGAGGCTGAGGCAGGCTGAGGCTGAGGCTGAGGCAGGCTGAGGCTGAGGCTGTGACTGCGACTGCCGTTGCCACTGCGACTGTCATCGCGAATGCGACTACGACTGCAAGAACGGCAGAATTCTACAACAGGATTCTCATCTGAATCTTCAGGGGAATGCTTCCAGATATGCTCCTACACATCGCTGTTAGGTTGCTTTGCCGGGATATTTTTTTGTTGGGCTCTGTCACGCATCGGCGCCATCGAGCAGCACCGAAGGCCAAGGCCGCATCACCACTGCTACCGGGCCAGCCCGCAGGCGAGCCGGCCCTCGGCACCTGCCAGAGGAGGCCGAGGCGCGCGCGAGGGGGTGGCGGCATCGGCCGCGTCGAAGCAGGGCAGCGACTGGATCTCGAGCTCGACGCGAGCTCGAGCGGCCAGAGCGCGGGGCCCAGCAACAGGATCAGCACACGGACGGAGGCCCGCAGGCGGGTTGAGGAGGGGACACTGGGGAGGGCAGGGGCCAGGCAGGGCAGCGGGGCAGGGAGCCCTCGTGGGGGCAGGAGCTCACAGCACGTACCCGACCAGCGCGTGGCACACGAAGCACACCTGGGAATCAGGCAGGGCGGCCCTCTCGAGCCGCCCGTGGCAACCGACCCAGGCGGCTCCCACGAGTCACGCGGTGCAGCCCAGACGGCGCGAGCGAACCGCGCTTGGCAGTCGACCTGGACAACGCCCTCGAGCCACTCGTGGTAGTCGACCCAGGCAACTATCACTTCTGCTCGGGCATCTTCTGCCGTTCCAATCCAAGATGACCAGCGGGGCGAGGCCCCGCAAACGCCAATGTCCAATGTCTTCACCATGGACCTGATGACGCCGACGATGAACCGTACGAACTTCTCATCCTCCAGCGCCACTATGAGCCTCCCCTCCTTGTTGTCGTACATCTTCTCCGCACGAAACAATCCCACCACGTGCTGCACCTCCGCTGAACTAGGTTTGAACTTGTCAAGTTGTTCTTGAAGATGCTGCTTGTACTTGCCCTCGCACGACACGAGCGTGGTAAGGATCGCGGCCGTCAGCTGAAACGAATCTGCCGGACCGAGACCGTGACCAGTCCGACCCTTGACCTTCGGAAGATACTCCTCCGAGTAAGCCTTCGCCATCGAGCGGTAGATCGCACCTTGGACCTGCAGCTCGATATCTCCACCGTGCGTGCCACTGCCAAGGGCTTAGCCTTCTGGTTCGCAATCACGCCCAGCTTCAGCGCAAGGTCGAGCTTCTGCTTGTTGCCAGCGACCTCCACCTGCCGATGCCTTACTCCGCGACCTCGAGGCTCAGCAACTGCATCGCCAGGCCCAGCAGAAGAGAACTGGTCCTTCCACGCGGCATTCTGAGAGCCCGACACACGGCGAGAAACACGTAAGTGACCGAAACCGCGAGGTCAGGACGAGCACCGCGAAGCAATTCGAGCCATACAAAAACGACGAATTCGTACGTACCCGCACCCTCGTGCGGTCACGG